GCAGCAACGTCCACTTACGAACGCGTGAAAGGTGAACAAGAAATAATTAATATGAGCACCCATATTTACTACGCCTTAAGCCTTCGCTTTGCATTAATTCCTTATATGGAAGTGTTCACGCACGACTCCATTGAGCAGGACAGAGCGGGGGGTGCGTCTTGCTTGGGTGAATGGAATGCTGGCAACGTATTTTTAACGAATACATGCATTATTTTTAAACTGAAGTTACCCCGCCCACTTTAAGGTGCCGGTACCCCACCCCTGTCGTCGATTCACGAACTTGAAATAATTTTATGTGTCTAAAATTATCCCAGTCTTGTCTCTTGTGGTTAAATTTTTTGAAGCGCTGTAGAAATTATAGTTTCATCAAATATGCGACAGTTTGTTAGAGGAAAGTACTAAACCAATTTAGATCTAATGCAATGCTTAAAAACCTCACTCCCTGCTAAAAAGTTGAAAACCCCACCCGCTTTTTTCGTAACACGAAATCCCGAAAGGTCATGCCCTCGAAAACTTGTGGCCAATCGCAAGACGGCTAATGACGTCACGCGTGTGATTCAGCGCGCGCGACCAGCGAGTGTCAACAACTTGCGAGGCGAGAGCGAGTCGACGAACGCCCGCCCAGCCCTGGCCCCCTCCCTTCTCGTCGACAACACACACAGTCAGACACACACAGTGACATTCATACACTCATACACACTCGGTGGTTGTACTTGTGCAGTGCATTGCGGCTTCTTCGCTCGAGCAGACGTTGGTCATCCCTCACCAAACAGGTCTTTCACTTGCAACACTTTTGTGCTCACTTCAACAAATTCTAATCAAAATGGCAGAACACAGAGCAGCAAAAAGCGGAGCCGCCCTCGACGCCCAGAAAAAGGTAAGTCACTCTTCTACTTCTAGATCTAGACCCGAGTCTTTGAAATAGTTTTAGTTGACGTCTCTCTTGAATCTCAGTCGTGATGTAGATCTAGATATCTAGAATCTAGATCTAGATCTAGGTCTTTCAAGATCGAGGATTTAGAATCTAAACACCTATTTCTGTATCTAGAATCTAGATCTAATCTAGATCTAGAATCTAGATATTAGAACTAAAGGCCGGTCATAAAAAAGACTCTAGAATCTAGATTAAACTTAAACAGTTGTTTAAGTGGGCATTCTAGAGCTAATGTATCCCTTTCACTTTCTTGCCCTCATCTTTGATCAATCAATAGACCAAAGATCAATTAAACCAGGAATAGGAAGGAGTCTGCTCTCAAATCTCCTATGACTGTAGATCTGATTAATTCTGCTCCAGCAGCAGAGTGTGAAGTTTGGAGAAGACACGCAATGCATTTTCCCCGCGCTTCTGGGTGGGATCAGGACAAGATTCAATAAAAGTTTAATAGGGGGTGACTGAGTGGCGAGTGCAGCTTTGCATGTTGTGTTTAAATGTCATCCAGTGGGCAAATCAATTAATCTGTCATAATTATTACTCCTATCATGCAGCCTATATAGACTTGCTCCTTCATTCTCGTACTATCTGTCTGTCTGTCTGTCTTTTTTTTTCTTTCTTTCGGATTCACACTTTTACTGTTTTCTTCTGTAGGCTATGTTTACTTTTCACTTCAGGCAGCCACACCCACTCACACCCACAGAATTCATACTTGACAAAACACACACACACACACACACACACACACACACACACACACACACACACACA